AAATATCAATAGAAGTTGGCCAAGGGAAGAGAGGAGAAGATGCTGGGGTTGGGGGGGCGGGCATGTGCAAATGTCCTGAGGTGGAAAGGCAAATGTGACTGGAGAGTTGTTCAAGATGAGTCAGGAGAGGTGGTCAGGGGCAGCCACACCAGGCCTTGTAGCCTGCTGAGAATCTTGCCCCTCACCCTGAGGGCAGTGGGAAGTCTCACAGAGTCTATAAGGCCAAGTGAGGGGGCCAGCCCAAAGGTTATCAGGAGGCACTTCCTTCCACAGAAAGCTCCTCTCAGCCAGATGGCTGTGGGCGGGGTCCTTCTGCTCCCTCTCTTCGGATGCGGATGCATTCTTCCTGTCCCCAGGGAGAACTGTCCTGTCTTAGAGAGAGTCAGGCTGGGGATGGCCCCAGCACTTGGCTTTTCCCCCTTCCCAGGGCCCCATCACTCCCAGCCTCCCCTGGGTGTCTGTGCCTCTTGCCACTTGCTTGTAAGTTTCCTAATATAGCCTGGCCGTTTCCTCCCCAACTGGTGGCCAAGAGCCGCTCTCCTGATGCAATCTCAATTTTTCTTGGGCTTAAAGGGACCATGTCAGCCCATCTCATGCCAACTCTAAGCTAACGGTAGATTGTCTGATTTAATTTCACAAACTTGTCCAACCCAGAGATTAGATGTCTTCTCTTTCTCCCAGTTTACCATCTTCTCTGTTCTATTCTTGTTCACTTTTCCCTTTCATAGATTTTTTTTTTCTTCTTTCTTCTGAGCACAGTGGAAGGAGCACAGCTAAACATGGATGTGAGTTTTGGTGTATTTATTAACTGTGTTGCCTTGAGTGAGTCTTATAGGAACCATTAAATACCTCTCTGGGAGTGAGCCATGCAGATTTGTGGAGGAAGAACATTCCAGGCAGAGGGAGCAGCAAACAGAAAGGCCCCGAGGCAGGACCGTGACTAATGTGTGGGAGGAACAGCAAGGAGGCCTTTGTGGCTACAGTGGACTGAGGGAAAGGGGAGAACCGAGGGAGGTGAGTGAGGACAGAGGAGTGAGGGGGATGCGATCAGTAGGGTCCATGGATCACTAAGGACTTGAGCTTTTCCTCTGAATGAGAAGAGGCAGAGCAGTGTCATGATTTTGACTTTATTACAGTTGAACTGAATCCCTGTGATAGGTATGCTAGGAATGGATAGAGGAGCACAGGGTGGAAACAGACCATCGTGGCCGCCATTATGAAAATCCTGGAGGCGAGAGACAAGGGTGGCTTGGGCTACCATCTAGTAGCAGTGGGGGTGGTGAGAAGTGGCTGGATTTCAGATGCACTTGGAAAGGAGAGTTGACAGGATTTTCTGATGGGTATTTGCAGAATGCTGTGCTGGGGTGTTTGCGGGTTTTTTTTCCTCCTTAAAAATTAGTTAATTAATTATTAAATCAAGGTATAGTTTCCATGCAATCAAATGCGTTTCAAGTGTACAGTCTTGACAAATGTATACACCTGTGTAACTACCAGCACCATCAAGGTATAGAACATTTCTGTCAATTCAGAAAGTTCCTGTACGTCTCTTTGCAGTGGATCCCTCCTACCCACAGCCCTGGTAATCTGCTTTCTTTCACTCCATATTAGATTTTTCCAGGCTTTGATGTAATTGGAATCACACAGTTTGTATTCGTTCATCTCTGGCTTTATTCGCTTAGTGTGTTTTTGAGATCCATGCTGTATAATCAGTCTATTCCCTTTTAATGATGACCGGTATTCCACTGTGTGGCTGACTACCTGTCCATCCATTTACCAGTTGATGGACATTTGGGTTGTTTTCATTTTTATGTTGTTGTTGTCTCCTTTTTAATCTTCCCCTGAACTCTAAAAAGTGGGTATTATTTTTCCATTTTCCAGAAAAGCAAATTGAGAATCAGAAGAAGTAACTTGTCCAAGGTTCTCCAGATTAGATGATGTCTGAGATCAGTTTGTCTTGGACTTCACATCTCTATCTGTCCCCCTGCCTCCCATACAATGTGACCACATGGGAATGAGCTTGGAAATGGGAACACATTAGTTTTCCATCTGTCCATCTCCCCATTTGATCATTCCCTGCACCATGCTGTCATTTCTCTATTCTCTGCACCTGCCACACATGCCCATTTGAACTGGTTTCAAATCCAGTTCTGCTCCTTCGTTACTGGGTGACTTTGGACAAGTCACATAACCTCTCTGAACCATTCCACCTGTGAAATGGAGATCATATTTATATCTTCCTCTGTGAGATAATGCCCAGTGATATTGCCTTTCTCTGTCTCTCTCCACTTCTCTTTGGCCCTTTTACAGTTCATATTCTATGGTCGTTGGTTTTTCATGGCTGGTCATTGAAGGGAGCTCTGATGTCCCTCTCCCCACTGGCTGCTCCTGCCTGCTGTACAGAGAGACTGCAAGAACTGGGGACCCTCCCCAACAAATTAAACCAGATTTTCTGGGGGTGAGGCCCAGAAATTGGTATTTTTTAGAGCTTCTGAAGGGCAGCCAGTATAGAGAACTGTGGGCTCAGAGCGTGAGCTTTGGGCATTAGACAGATTTGGGTTTGGATTCTGCTTCCTCGGTCAAGTCAGTTAACCTCTCAGACCACCATCTTCCTCTTCTGCAAATAAGCATCATCATTGGGACCCACCTGATAGGACCTTTGAGAGGTTTCAATGAGCCCTGGGCACTGTATGTGACTCTTAATGGGGTCTCTTCACGCAGAAAGGGCTGGGGGAAGGACAGGACTGGAGGCCTGAGCTAGGGCAGCCTGTGCTGGGAGGGACCGGGCAGTGTGGAGTCACATGGATGCACTGTCCTTCACCTGCAGAGTCATGGTGCCCAATTCCTAGAAAGCCAGCATCTCAAAGTTAGGCCAGACTTTAAAAGCTTCAGATCCAACACATCATTGACAGACAGGGCAATTAAGGCCTTAAGAAGGGAAGAGAGTTGCCCAAGGTCACACAATGAGATGGAGTTTCCAGACAAGTTCAGCCAATCAATCAGCAAATATTTATGGAGCACCCCTATGTGCCAGGCCCTATTCCAGCTGTTGGGGCTGCACTGGAGACCAAAACAGGAAAGATCCCTGCCCTCATGGAGCTTCTATTCTAGTGGGGAAAGAAAAGCAATGACTATAATAATTAAGTCATATGATATCTTAGAAAAGGCTACATATTATAGGAAACAGAAGTAGATCAGGGATACCTGGGTGCTCGTGCAAGTGCAGGCAGATCTGGAGGAAAAGAGTTCCAAGCAGAGGGAACAGCCGGTGCAAAGGCCAGAAAGCACACCTGTTGGGCTGAGCTTAGGAATTCCCTTACCTGGCTCACTGTTTCAGTTCCCTACCCATGCTGGGCATTTGCTGGGAAGAAGGCCATTTGGGTTTTTTTGGTTAACCAGGGTGAAATAGCTTGTGTTTAAAACAAAGGCTCTGAATTTCCTCCCTCAACTCAGTGAACGTTACGGCAGGCACTGTTCTACACGCTGAAGGCATGAAGATGAAGGCAGGGACCTGGCTTTCAGTGGACTACTTACATAGACTCTTGTTCCCAGGAGCTCACGTGCTCACACTAATGGACACACAGGGCCTCCACTGTGGTATCTCCTTGTACACAACACTATCCTGCACACACATGGTCTCACACAGTCTCAGTTTCCCTAATGCCCACAACCTCATACACTCAGCCTCAAGTGCTACATATTACTCTGTGCTTTAATACTGAGACAGCTTTGCACATTCAGAACCTCTCACACACCCATAATGTCACCTCCAGGAACTTGGACACTTACCCCACTGTGTACACCCTGTATTGCACGCTCATGGTCTCGTATAATCAAAAGACACTGACATGCATGTCCATAAAAGTCTTCTATACACATGGCCTTGCACAGATACACACTCTCACATGCTTTCCAACAGAGTCCTATGCTCTCTAGCATTCACACTACTCTGCGAACTGTCTTATCCTTTCATGAGCTTGAACATGCACATCACCTTGCACAATAGGATGACTATGCACATGCATTTAACCTCACATACCAACAGATGTGCCTGCTCACACCACTCCACACTCTGAATTTCTAATGGTTTTGCACCCTCACTTAACTTTGCCTTTCCTTACATACTCAAGACCTCAAATACCCTCACGACCTTATGTTACATCCCATTATGTCACACTCATGTGATCTCAGTCACCCTCTGTGTGCACACTGCCTTGCACACTCATGATTCAACATGCTCCCACTACCTTGCACACTCCCACACATGCAAATATTCACCTTACCGCACAAACTCACTGTCTTGCCCACTCACTTTCTTGCATGTTCAGTCTCTCTTGTGTGTTTCAAAATCTGTGCCTTCATTCAAATTCACACTCACCAAACCTCGTCTGCTTGGACAACTTCACACTTTAAAACTGACAGATCCTATTTTGTACACTTGTGACCTAGCTGTGTTCCTACCAACAGAAATATTCACACCATTGTGCAAACTGCTTCTGGCCACCCACGCATGTCCTGGAACACTTGTTTAACGGCATGCACTCTGGGATCTCCCCTGCTCACACAGCTTCACACACTGATGTGACTCAGACGACCTCACTCTGTCTCGCCCACTGTGACCCGGCCATGTGGCCACCACCGGAAATGGTCACACCGTCGCGCGCAAACTCCTGGCCGTCCACTTGTGTCCTCACACACTCGTTTAACCGCATGCACTCCGGGGTCTGGCCCGCTCACACAGCTTCGCACGCTGACGTGACTCGCACGACCTCACTCTGCCTCGCCCACGGTGACCTTGTGCGTTCCCACCGCCGGGAGTATTCACACCCCTGCGTGAGCGCCTCCCGGCTTGCCCGCTGACGTCCTCGCACCCTCGCGGGCGGCCCCCATCCCCACCCCAGCCTCGCCGGCCCTCCCACCTGCGCGCTCCTCGCCCCGGCCCGCCGCCCCGCGCCCGCAGGGCCCGCGAGCCGGCCACTGACGCGCCCTCTCCTCGCCCGCAGGGACCTACCAGGGCCAGTTCACCAACGGCATGCGCCACGGCTACGGCGTGCGCCAGAGCGTGCCCTACGGGATGGCCGTGGTGGTGCGCTCGCCGCTGCGCACGTCGCTCTCGTCCCTGCGCAGCGAGCACAGCAACGGCACGGTGGCCCCGGACTCGCCCGCCTCGCCCGCCCCCGACGGCCCCACGCTGCCCCCCGCCGCCATCCCGCGCGGCGGCTTCGCGCTCAGCCTGCTGGCCAACGCCGAGGCGGCGCGGGCGCCCAAGGGCGGAGGCCTCTTCCAGCGGGGCGCGCTGCTGGGCCGGCTGAGGCGCGCCGAGTCGCGCACGTCTCTGGGCAGCCAGCGCAGCCGCGTCAGCTTCCTCAAGAGCGACCTCAGCTCGGGCGCCAGCGACGCGGCGTCCACCGCCAGCCTGGCCGAGGGCGCCGACGAGGCCGCGCCTTTCGAGGCCGACATCGACGCCACCACCACCGAGACCTACATGGGCGAGTGGAAGAACGACAAGCGCTCGGGCTTCGGCGTGAGCGAGCGCTCCAGCGGCCTCCGCTACGAGGGCGAGTGGCTGGACAACCTGCGCCACGGCTACGGCTGCACCACGCTGCCCGACGGCCACCGCGAGGAGGGCAAGTACCGCCACAACGTGCTGGTCAAGGGCACCAAGCGCCGCGTGCTGCCGCTCAAGAGCAACAAGGTCCGCCAGAAGGTGGAGCATAGCGTGGAGGGCGCCCAGCGCGCCGCCGCCATCGCGCGCCAGAAGGCCGAGATCGCCGCCTCCAGGTAGGCCCCCGGCTGGGCGCAGGCGGGGTGGGCCTTGCTGGGGAAGGGGTTCCGGGCAGGGCGAGCCGGGAGGCCCAGGCTCTGAGCCTGTTCTGCTTCTTTCACCATCAGGGGTACCCCCTGACCTTTAGAGCGTTAACTGGAGGCACTTTTGGTCCCATCCATCCGTCTGTGCATCGATGCATCCACCTGTCCACCCATCCATCCACTCAACTACTCCTGTCCACCCATTCACCCAACCCTCCATTCACTTAACCCTTCCATTCTTCCAGGGTTTCTGATAGCCACCATCTGTTTCACCCCACCTATCCACTCCACTTTGTTTACGCATTCATCCTCCAGACACCCATCCAGCCACCCAGTCGTTCATTCCTTCACCCAGCCCCTCATTCACCTAACTTCTGCACTAACTAACCTCCTGAATAACCCCTCCATGAGGACAACAGCCTCGTTACTCAGCCTCTCTGACATCTATCTGGATAACCACCCATGCATCCAGCCACAACCTCATCCACCCCCATCCACCCATCCAACTTTCCACCCTTCTACCCACCCAACCCTCCAGTTACCCACCTGTCCACCCAGCCACCTAGACACCCATCCAGACAGCCATTCAACCACCCACCCATCCGCTTATTCACTAACCACCCACATTCACTCAATTACTTCTTCCATCTACCAAGTCTTAACATCCATCCATGCATTCATTCACCTAACCACTTCCATTCACCCAGTCTCCTCCATTTACCCAGTCACTCCCATCTCCCATCACCCAACCATGCTTCCATCAACTGAAACAACACACTTCCACCCACCTACCCAACTCATGCAAGCACCCATCTATCAGCCAGCCAGCCAGCCACCTCTAGAGCCCAACCATAACTTCCATTCAACAATCCCTCTTCTCTTCCACTCACCCAGCTACTGTCACCCATCCACCTACTAGCCCTGTGTCCATCCACCTTCCTATCCATTCAGCACCCACCCTTTCATCCATATTCGGACCCCTCCATGTCTTCTCATTGTACTTCAGAAAGTCTTAATGTTGTCTGCAAACGTTTATAGTTCTCGCTGTGTACGTGGCACTGTTCTGGTAGTTTACAAATATTGACTCATTTAATCTCCTTATAAGACCCGTTCTGGTTTTATTTCCATTTTACACACGGGTTAAATGAGGCTTAGAGATATAAAGTGACTTGTCCCAAATCACCCAGGTAGTGAGTGGCCCTTCATAATCTGGTTCTACACCCCTATTCAGCCTCATTTTCTACCACTCTTGCCCTGGACCTGAATTTTATTCTGTGCGCTAGTCATGCTGGCCTTTTATCATCCTTCTTTAGTTCTTTCTGCCGGAGAGCTTTTATTCCTACTGGTTCTTTGCTTAGACTGCTCTTCCTCCGCCTTGCTGCGCATTTAATTCCTACTCCTCTTTCAGAGCTCAGGTAAAGCCTGACTCCCTTAGGGGGCTGATGAAGCCCAGGCCCCTGTTACAGGCTGAGCTCACTGGATTGCATGGACATTTTCTTACAATGTCTCACATTTCAACCTTATGCTGCTTGTGTGATTTGTTTTCAACCTGCTTTTTATAAAGGGTTTTTTATGCCCCACTGTTCTGAGGCCTTTACATAAATTAACTCACTTAATCTTTACAACATCTCAAAAAAGGTAGGTACTGTTATTATTCCCATCTTGCAAATGTGGAGTGAGCTGCAGGGAGGGCAGCGGGTGTGGTGGGACAGTGGTGAAAAGCACTCGTCTGTTCCGGTGCCCGTAGCAATCCTGCTGGGGGCTCTAAATGACCTGGGCTGGAGCTGTGGCACCGTGGTCTTCAGGGTAAAGCAGACATAGGACCAAATCTTGGTTCTATCATCTGTTTGCTCAGAGACCTGGGAAGATCAGTTTGCCTATCCAACCTTTAGTTTGCCCACCTGGGGCGCTTCCATTTCTTAGTTATATGTTCTTGGCCAAATCAGTTTTCGTCTTCAATATCAGTTGTGTCATCTATAAAAATAGGGCTAGTCTGAGGGTTAAGAAAGGTAGTACAGGTCCCGTGGTTTACAGTCCTGTCATGAGGTGAGTTTATGGGGAACACTCAGGAGCAACATTTGTGGGGAAGGGAAGGAAGCTGGGTTGGGCAGAGGGAGATGCTGGGCTGCAGTCTCCTCAAAGGCCTCAGCCAACCACAAGAGGTGTGCTGCAGTGGAGATGACCTTCACAGTCGTCCCTAGTTGAGGAGAGGGCACTGGATCTTTATACCCTCTGCTCTGGCTGCAGCTACCCTTCAGAAAGGAGTGTGACCTGGGGCTGGACGGTTCTCTTCAGCCACGGGCCACCCCTGGGCAGGGCTGATAGGTGGTGCCCCTCTGACCAGCTGGGGGAGGAGGAGAGGAGAAATAAGCCTTTAGGTCCTGAAGAGGAAACTGGGGGGCATGTCACAGTACCCGCTACAGTGCTGGACACCTAGCGAAGGCTCAATAAGCATTACTAGTCATTGTCGTCATTTAATGAATTCATTATACAGATGTGGAAACTGAGGCCCAGAGAAAGAATGTAATATCCCCCGAGACCACCTGGCAAGCAAGTGGGAGAACCAAGGCTCCAGCTCCTAAATTTCTGATTCTGAAGCTTTAACCAGCACATCTTGCTATCTCTGAACTTTGTAAACCTTAAAATGGTGTGAATGTGTGAGCAGTTAGTATCATTAAGATGGCCCAGTTTCCCCTAGCGTTAAGTTCTTATGTTACCATAATACACTGGTCACAGCCAACACTGGTACATTACTGTTAACTCCAGACTTCGTTTGAATTGTACTAGTTTTCCCACCTCTATCCATTTCCTGTTTCAGATTCCATCCGGTATCCCACATTGCATGCAGTGGTCATGTCTCCTTAGTCTTCTCTGGTCTGGGACAGTTTTTCAGCCTTCCCTTATTTTTCATGACCTTGACAGTTTTGAGAACTGGCCAGGCATTTTGTAGAACGTCCCTCAGTTTGTCTGATGTTTGTCTCATTGTTACACTGAGGTTATAGGTTTGGGGGAAGAAGACCACAGGAGGTAAGATACCATATCATATCATATCATATCGTATCATATCATATATCATATCAGGGGCATGTGGTCTTAACATGACTCATCACAGATGACGTTAACCTTGAACACCTGGTATCTGCCAGGTTTCTCTGCTATGAAGTTACCATTTCCCCTTCCCCATACTCTGTTCTATGGAATCCAGACACTAAGTTCAGTCCACACTTAAGAGGGAGAAAGGTCTGGAATTAAGCTCCTGAGGGAGGAGTATCAACATACATTAGCTGGAATTCTTCTGGAAGGAAGATTTGTCCCTTCTTCCAAAGGGAACATTTTTCACTATTAGGCCAAGCATCTATCATTGTGACAGGCATAAGCCCGGACTGTCCTGGGCCACCCTGGGACATGGCAGAGCTTACAACAGGTAAGAGCTTAGGCTCTTGATTCAGAAGATCATGAGTTAGAGTTCTTGCTCCTCTGTGTGACCAAGGGGCTTCACCACTCTGAACCCTGGATCTTCTTTCCTCCTAGGGTTGTTTTGAGGAGTAGATGAGCTAATGCCTAGGAAATGCCTGGTGCAGCAAAAGCGGTCATTGTCATCATCTAACCTGTTTGATTTTAAAGGTGAGGAAATAGAAGCTTGGGAAGAAGGAGGGATTTATTTCCCCAGGCTCTCAGCTGGTGGGGGCAAAATCTTGCCCCTCTCTGCCCCCTTGCTTTCCCTGACCTCCTTGTCCTTGCCACCAAGGCCTGTGCCCTTGAACATGACGATGTTGAGCTCTGTTTGAGAAGGCTACCAGGCCCATAGCTGGGAACTGAATCTCTGGAGTGAGAAGGTGTCCAGCTTCCTCCACAAGATCTGCCAGGAGGGGAGAGCAGGGGAGATTTGGATTCCTCATGTGTCTAGGGAACACGTCCTGTATGCCTGCAGGGCTCTCACCATGTGGGGGGCAGCTCCCTGGCTCGGTTTTAAGCTCAGACTGATTTTCCAATTAAGGGAATCTTTGGGTTAGGAGGAAAAGCAGGATTGTCTCCCTTGCAGGAGTTTTGGTGAGTAGTCCAGCTGCAGAGGAGCAGGGAGCATTCCTAGCAGCCACCAGCCTCCTTGGCTCAGGCAGACCTGGGGTTTCTCTTCATTGTGGCCTCAATCTCCTGGTCCTGGGCTTCCATGGGACTTGTCAGCTCAGAGTCTAGGATCAGGAGAGCTTTCCCAGGGGGAAGAGAGAAAGCTGAGGCATCATATCCTCCTAAAATGGGCTGTGGCCTAAAAAAGATTCTAGACCTGCAATGTCCAATATGGTAGCCATTCAGTGGCTGCTGAGCTCTTGAAATGGGGCTGATCTGAACTGAGATGTGCTGTTTTTTTTTTTTTTAAAGATTTTATTTATTTATTTGAGAGAGAGAATGAGATAGATAGAGAGCACGAGAGGGAAGAGGGTCAGAGGGAGAAGCAGACTCCCTGCTGAGCAGGGAGCCCGATGCGGGACTCCATCCCAGGACTCCAGGATCATGACCTGAGCCGAAGGCAGTTGCTTAACCAACTGAGCCACCCAGGTGCCCGAGATGTGCTGTTAAGTGTGAAACACACACTGGATTTCGGAGACTTAGCAAGAAAAAAGTGTAAAGGAACCTGTGAATTTTACATTGATTTTTTAATATTGATTACATGTTGAAATGATTATGTTTCCAATGTGTTGAGCTGGATAAAACATCATTACATAATTGTTAAATTGATAATATTAACATAATTATTAAATTAATTTTATCTGTGTTTTTTAGTTTTCTGAATGTAGCCATTAGAAAATTTAAAAATTATACATGTGGCTCACATTGTATTTTTATGGGGCAGTGTTGCTCTGGACCCATCCAGGGCTCTAGGAGATAGTCTGACTCCTTCCCCAGCCAGATGGGAAAATGGAAACACAGAAAGGAGCAAAGACATATCCATAGCCACTAAGTGGTTGAGCGGGAGC